ACCATGATGAATTTGATAAAATTCTCAGACCAGAACAACGCGCAGTTTGTTAAAGAAAAAAAGTCATATGGCCATTATCTTTTTTCTGTCGAACCACATCACTATACGCAATATATTACTTAATAAAAATTGAAACCTAATAATCAATGTTCAATATTAATACTATCATTAGAAACAAGACAATAATAGCTATTGATTTTTCCAATATCAACAATCAGTTAAACATAAAAATGTAAATCTATTGTATTCTATTCTGTTCTATAAGGTAGAATAAGATTAAAGTAAGTAAAGATTACCCTAGATTGATAGGATGAAGATGACAGCAGAGAAAAGATGTCTAGAGAGTTGTTCATGGTGCCAAAAGATCAAAAGATTATTGGTAAGCTATTTTCAATTGGAAATTTCACCCGAACATTTTATACATTTCTCGTTAAGAAGAAATCGATTGTCATGATAAATCAAAATTTTTTTTTCTATAGAAAAATCATTATTCGACTGATAGAACAAATAATTACTCAACTTTTTAGAATTTTCAATTAATAAAATGACTCTTGTGAATTTCAATACAGTCCATTAATAGAAATAATTCGCAAGAAAAAAATTCAGTTTATATTCTGTATTGATCATAAATATGAATAAATTGTTTATAGTCGATATTTTGAGTAGCACATCGTGTACAAATAAGAGTTCCATATAAATGCCTTTCAAAAGCTACATAATGTATATCAGAATGAAGCCAACAATTTATTTCATCATACATTGTTTCTAGTCGAAGTTGAACAGCAGCTAAATAAACACTATTTCTTGATGATGTTACATATGGTTGTAATTTAGCTCTTATATGATTATCATCAATACGAAGTTTAATTAATGTAAATTCTTGTGGTCCAACACTTTCACTACAACTTCGATGATCATCCAGACATGGTTGACGGGTGTGAGTTTAGGTATAGATCTTTCCTTTACTCACACCCACATCCAATTTATCTATAATCTCCTTATATCTTCCAAGTGCATACTTGTAGTTTTTCTAAATAGAACTATGAGACAGTTCGTTTTGTCTTCAAATTAAAGTCAATATTATTACATAGTTTTTATCTGAATAGAATTTTCAAATTGATTATCATTTGTCTTTTTTACATAAGAATTTTGATCTTTGTGATGTTAAACAAAACATTAAAAAACCTATGATATATCATGACATAAAATTTCGCTTTTCTCCTCATTATAGAAAATTAACTATGAAAAATTTGACATGATCAAATTTTATTTTCATTTAAAACAAACTGTCGATGATGTGTTGAATCAAATGAGAGAAGTTTCAATGTTATTGATTAAAAAGTAAAATTTAAGAACAATAATGAGAAAATTTAGAAATGAATTTTGTTTTTTGAATTTGAGAAAAAAAAATATATGAAGATAGCATATTGAAAACAGTTCGAAATGGAATTTTTTAAAAAAAACATAAGAAATAATACAAATTAGACATAATAAAAATTTATTTAATTTTAATAGTAAGAAAGATAATAATTTTTTGNTAGCCCATTGAAAGGCGCACCTTTTGGTATAAATATGTATAGGATTAATGTGCTAGCAACATGCCCAAATGCTCATAGAAAGGTAAATAATGACACATCATTTTTTGCCATTCTCATGTGTACTCGAGGTCTTCACTCCAGAAATGATTTCATCATACGTCCACCCTGTCGCAGTTTTTTTTGAATGTGTGGGAAGTTCTTCGAGATCAATGATCAAAAAATTTCTCCTAAATAGAAAAAAACCCACCTTACATTTGAACACACAAAGCTATCGACAAGGATTTCGGCAGCCATAAGGAACTTTCGACGTAACCCGTGTAAATATGACTCAGCGTTCATGCTCAAACAAAAGTCCTCTCAGTTTATCGCAATTCTTACATGATTACTTTAATGAGATCTTTTCATAACAACGACTGTCTGACTTATCATTCTCACATGATCAGTTAGCGTCTTCTGACCATAGACCATCGTGTTCGAATCGAACACTGCCTCAATTATTTGAATCTACTATACACAAGTAGAAGGTGAAAGAAGGATGTGTCATGATGCTTCAAAAACATTTTGGAAAGCCTTATGAAACAACTCCAAGCCCATCAAAAATAACTGCGACAGGGTGGACGTATGATGAAATCATTTCTGGAGTGAAGACCTCGAGTACACATGAAAATGGCAAAAAATGATGTGTCATTATTTACCTTTCTATGAGCATTTGGGCATGTTGCTAGCACATTAATCCTATACATATTTATACCAAAAGGTGCGCCTTTCAATGGGCTACAACATATCCAAAATTCAGTCTGGGACTTTGTAACGTGAGGTGCCAATAGCGTCACCAAGCACGCAAAAGCATATGAACAAAAATGAAGAAATAATGATATTTTCTATATTTCAATGACTGTTTAACAGGCTAGTCTTTGCGAATAGAAAGACCTTCTATAGGGTTTTGTAGAGCGAATTATGCTCTATCTTTTGGTATAAGATAGTGATTGCTTCGATGAAGTTTTTATGGTGAAATGTTTGACGAATACGAAACAATTTTTTTTCGCAAAATGAATCATTTTTTCAAACATCGATTATTACTGGAAAAAAGTCGATATACCAAATCTCCTCAACACATCATCCCAAAGACTTAAAAGTTTGTTGTTAGACCTAACTTTTTACGCTCTTTCGTGCTGGCTAATCAGTTTCAAGATGTAAAATTTTTCGGCATCCAGCTTTGGTGATGGTCTCATGGACTATCTCTTAAACAGTTGATTGGAAATTTTCGAGTCTTTCGAATAGTTTGTAGTTCGCATCGCTAACACATTCGTAAGCTAAGCTAGACGAGAAAAAAGAGAAATTTTCGCGGAAAAAAACTTTTAATTTATATGTAAACTAGTCAAAAGTATCTTGTAGAGGATAGCGAGTTATTATTAACTGTTGTTTTACAGGATGTTTTTAACGATTTCATTAAAGTTAAAGTAATCGCTATTTCACAACACCTGTTTGATGAATTCACAAAAATTAAACTAATTGTTATCTAACACGATGCTTTTTGACGAGTTCACATAAAAATTACAAGTATATTGCGTGAGCGTTTCTCTTTCTTTCTTCTCGTGCCATTTTATTTATAAATGTGTGATAAATTTGAATCATACACTGTTCGAAAGACGAGAAAATTCGCTATCAACTGTTTAAAAAATATCCTTTTCGCAGCTTTCATATCAAGATCATATAGGTATCCATATTTTGTGCTATTTTTCGAGATTTCACACACAGTGCGGATTTCTATTTAAAGTAGTTCTCTTGTTTATTGTCTGCTTTCAGTTATGAACGTGTTATAATAGTAAGTTATAAATGATTTGAAAGAGGAGAAAAAGCTCTATCGTTTGGCGAAAAAGTTTTCTTTCAGCACCCTTTTATCGAACGAAAGCGAGAATCGATAAGTTGTTCCATTACTTTTGTATCGCCTGTTAATTAATGCCTAGCATACATGAGTTATATATACTACATGTTCTTTTCTTTCATTTTTTTTGTGTGTGTATGTCGTTACAAAAGAATGCGAAGAAAATATTTTAGATAATACGTCGTCAAGATTAGATAAAAAATTGTTATTCTTCTTTCTGTAAAAATGTTCCTTTACAAATGATTTTCATGACTTTCATGACTTTTTTGATTGAATTGATTTAAAATGACTTTGATGACTTAGAGTCACTTAATTCGGTCTTTTTCCCCTTGGTAATTATACTTTACATATGGAATTACGAATGTAAACTTACTAACGTCTACAAGCCGATCACCGACTGTCAAAAATCGCCACATTCTGGGAGCAGTAAGTGTCTTATTAGCCATGTTACAAAAATCGACATGATTGTGCTGATGTTGCACTGTTTGTACCACGTTATCATCTAGAGTGTCATCATGATACACTCGAAGAAGCCATCCTGGATACACTTGACGAGCTTCTTGAACCAACTCGTGTAGAAACGAGACAGACCGGTTACGTTGGAAAAGTGAGTTTTCCTTGGGTCCAAATAGACTCACTGCAATGACATACTGATGGTGACCGCGATCAGTCACACGAAAATTGCATAGATCTGATGACTTCATCCGAGAAGAATCGATATTATCCAATTGAGGAAAGTAGTATGCAGTATGTGAATCAACATGAGCAGACGGGAATACAAAATACATGCTTTGAAAGAGAAGGTATATGGGAAATCCAAGAATGACAACTAGTGCACTCAACCAAAAACAAAATGGAACAAATTTCATCGCCAGATACATTGTGTAGTGTTCGACTTGAATTAGATATTTTCATCGGAACCAAAATCCATTCTTGTGCTAAACGAGTGATCTAGGAAGAGAAATCGGAAAAGAGCTGAAAGAAACGACATCAAATATCAGCCAATTTATAATAGTATACTTGCATTAGAGTCTCTGATTCAATAGAATGCCAATCAAGGTAATAAAAAAGGATGATTAGAGTTTTAGAATGATAATGTGTTTTCTCGTTTAGTATGTAAATCATCTCTATGGAGTATACGGTTTATCTCGTAAGCATTTCTTTTGTCACAAAAAGAAAATAAGATAATGCCCGCAAAAGTTGGATTCAGTCACTCATGCGTCCAAACTTTAAAACACACACTAGAGTAAAAAATTAGCATTTTTCTAAGAGTATAATCGTTCGGAAAAGTTCCTTATATGAACGATAGTCTTTTAGCAACAAACAACTCAGGAAAGAATATGACTCTTCGAGAACAAGTATGCTCTACAGTTATCTATGACTATTCAACCGAAGATTTTGAATACCGAAGGGTGATCTTTCTTTCTTTTTCAAGAAACATCTAATAAAAGATTTTCTTAATGGGATCCCAATTACACGAGATTCCGTCTTTTATGTGTGCAATTTATTGACGCAAGATCCTATCTTGTCGTACATGGAACATTCCACGGATTGATCAGTACATAATTTAGAAGGTGAAATTGGGAACGAAGTATATTGCTATAGAAATGAAAGTGAAGAGCCAAAATACGAGATGTATCGAGGCATATAAATTAGTATTACAAAGAGATAATCTTACTTGAGTTAATACGGGATTTCAGTGCTAATAGCATTAGCATCCTTTTTTTTCCAAAAAACTTTTGCATACTTCCATCTAGTAGCATTAAAATATCTTTCCTACAAAGGATTTTTCATACGCGAGTTTTACCCCCTTATTTCTGAGAAGGTTCGGGGGTAAAGGAGGTAAAATTT